CAAACAGAAAAAACTGTTCTTAGGATGTATACCAGGAAACCTTAATGAAAATTCGGGACCATATTAAGGTCTGAGTGTACATGCGTTCAGTTTAAAAAGGGCACATGTTCGAAAGAAAGAAATCCTTAAGAAACACTTTTCATTAAAGAATTGTATAATACCGAACTCGTATGTAAAACTTATTTTAACACAGATCCAGAGATACAATGCCAACAATCCTTTTTTCATTCATGTAAATGTTTTTTGTCCCCTGTAAAATGGTAGAATGTAATTTGCATCCATTCTAAAATAAATGATTCATTGGGCCGGTTGCATAAAGCTTTCCAAATGGGTTCCATAGCTATGGGTTCAATAAAATTAATAGGTTCTATAGACCGTGCACCGTTGCATAAAGCAAATTTAGGGAATCTATAACTATAGATTCTAAAATAACTTCGGGATGCAACCAATAGATAGCGACACAGTCGATATTTGAACCCCACCTATTCCTTACATCGTCTTGCACGTTGTTAGCATGTGCTGTGTTTAATGGAGCTGTGTTTGGTTGTGTTTGTTAATGCGTCTCAGTAGCAATTCCGTTTTATTTCATTACTTTCATTTTAGTTTATTTTTTGTTTAGTTCTTATAGTATTGTAAGTAAAATTAATTCTTTATATAAGCCATTACTTGTTTGAATTTAAATAAATTTATGTACCATCCATTCTTAAATTTAAATATTATTTGTTTGCTAATACAATGAATAATAAATTATAATTAATATTGAACTACTATTCAAATCCATTTGAAATAAAAGTAATAATTAATTTGCTATCTAAACAATTCAGTAGAACGTATTAATACACGTAGAGCCCAGAAGTTAAGGCATTTCGTTTGCCAAATATAGAGAGGCAATAATGCACTAAAATATGAGTTAAAAAAATAATTAGAGAGTAATCATTTATATTATTCCCATTTTATTTGTAATACTGATATTAGTACTAGCAATTAAAAGGAAACGTTTTCATCATTGGTTCATCGATAAATGTTGTAATCTTCATTGGTTATCTATTTATTGAAAAGAAATCGTTTCATAACTGAAAATTATTCTTTATGATAAACCAAATTTCAGCCTTATGACTGCTAATTAAATGCACTGATGATACTACGAAGAGTTAAGTGTGGGCTGAGCTGTTCTTTTATGAATATGAATGGCGTAATTGAAAAAAACTATTGTTTACATTCGTAGCACTCACAAGTACATAATACAATCTGGCATTATTGAATCATTTACGAAGGTGTCTGTCCTCAAAAGGGGTTGGATGCCACACGTAATCATTGTATGGGAGTTGATTGATATTAGTGCCTGATGAAAAAGAATTGAAAAAAGGACGAAGACAAAATATTATAGCCAAAGGTAACATACTTTCATAACCAAATTTAATCCTTCTTTCTCGTCATAATACATGCAAAAATAATGTATGAGTATAGAATTCACTTATATTCAATACATACAATTACATCTGAAACGCACACAACACACTAAATAAAATTCGTAAAAGCCACCAAAACACAACACAACACACGGACGCCAGGTATCACCAATAACCTCAAACAAACAAAACAGCTGTACCAGTCCGCAGAGCCGCCATATTGCTTATTTGCTGAATCCATTAGCATTTGTAGATCCTTTTCAGGACCTATACGTTATGGACAGCCTTATATGTTCTATAAGTCTTATTGGTTATTCTAGAGTCACGTTTGCCGCTATGGACATAGAACCAATAAGCTTATGGATTTCATATCACTGAGCCGGTTAGATAAACTAGAGGAGTTCTTATCCAGGTTTAGTTCTTATCCAGGACAGTTCTTATCCTTATCCAATTGATTTAATGGCGTTACAAGAAATATGGTTCACCGAGCGGACGGACTTCCGATTTCAAGGATTCGCGACATACCGGTGTGATCGCGAAGGCAGTTTGGGAGGCGGTGTCGCACTCTTAATAAGGCGTGACATCTCACAGATTGAGGCATCGCTCCCAACCCATGATCCGGCTACTATCGAGGCGGTCGCTGTATACGTCTGGATAGGCGGCACAATTAAAATTTCCGAGCCGTCTTTTAGTTGTGCCGGCTTACTGCCCCAACCAAATACTGGATACGACCGAAATCGACGCGCTCTTAGCGCTGAACTCAAAGGATCTTATACTCGGAAACTTAAAATCCAGACACCGAACATGGGGTTGCATAGGGGCAAATACCAACTGCAACAATCGAAGTTCTTAACAGCAAGATGTGGTATGTGTATGCACATCGAAACGCCCTACGCACTTCCCGGATAAAACGAAGCGAGGCCGCGGAAATCCGGGCGTTATTGACTTCGTGATCGAGAAAAGGATACAATGCACCAAACCGCAATCCATCCCCGCCCTGAATTCTGATCACAATTCAACGATCATAACGTGTTGTGTGACATCCCTTGTCGAAAAACGCCATACGAATATGAAAATTACGCGCGACACAGACTGGGCAGGCTTTCAAGCTCAATTGAGCGAGTTGCTCGAGCCGAAATCACTTGAAAACGAATCGGAAATTGAATCTGCAGTAAGCAGTTTTACTGATGTAATTCCACTTTCCTACAAAAAGACCGCGAAAGTGACGCTCGCCCAGGATTCTCACAGATTAGCAACGAGGGACACTGCGAGCGCTCCGAAGAGCCGTAAAGGTTCACCGGCGATTTGTCGATCCCGCTGACGGGCTGCGAGCGCGAGCTCTCGGCCGAGAATTCTCTAAGAGGCAAGGGAAACGCTTGGTGGACAAAAAAAATGGAAGCATGCAACCTCCACGAGCGGCGACTCTGGGGTTTATCCAAAGTGCTGGGGCCCACCCTTTGCAACGCAGCGCAGCATCAGGACAAGTGCCTAGAAACATTGGAGCGCCGGAATAGGTCTGGAACGACGTAGAAAAAAGTGAGCTGTTTGCAGACTCTCTCGCTCAACAGTTCCGTCCAACGGAAACCAGCGTCTTGGACACTGAGATAACTGCGTCGCGTTTACCGGGCTACCTGTCCGCTGCGCGGAGCACCTTGGCGCGCCGCGGGACGGGCAGCGAGCTTCGGAACGTACTGCGCGCTCTTATCCCGAGAAGAGCGGGCCAGACGATATCCGTGTCTCCCAGCCTCGCGCTATAGAAAAAAAACGGGGTGCAGTTTCTTCTGAATTCATTTAATGCGTGCCTAGCGCTGGGACATTACGGTGGAGAGTGGAAAGTTGCGAATATATGCCTTATACCCAAATACGGTAAAAGTCTCTTCCTCCTGAGCAGTTACGGACCAATTAGTCTATTCTCGCTCGTAGGTAAGACCTTAGAGCGCCTGATAACGGAGCACATGTAATAGGAAATACGGCGATTTGGTCTGTTGGGAGACGAACAATTAGGAGCTCGAGTTGATCGCAGCTCCGCGCAGTAACTGACGCGGCTGTGTACTGAACTCAGTCTTTCTCTCGAAAGACGGGACAACGTGCCAGTGATATTGCTGGATATGCGGTCGGTCTTCGACTCCGTATGGCAAGAGGGGGTGCTCTTGTGTCTTATTGAGTCCGGCGTTAGCGACTGCTATGTCAGGATTATTGCCAGCTTCCTCACAGAAGTGCGAATAAATGGCGTAACCTCATCACTCAGGCGAGCCGAAGCGGGAGTACCGCAGGGAAGTGTACTCTCACCAACACTCTTTAGCGTATACAGGTGTCCCATTTAACTTGACAACTTGAAATAACTCAAAAAATACGCGATGTAGGAAAAATTGAGCCGAGACCAAATCTTCACAATTTTGAAGGGGGAATCATTCTATGCTCAAATCAGCACCCCCCTGCCCCCAGCGGGTGGAGCGGTGGGCAACATTGAAATCTTAAATGGGAACCCCCATTTTTTATTTCAGATTCGGATTCTACGAACAAAAATACATTGTCTGAAACTTTTTTTCTGATTTGTGATAGATGGAGCTGTAATCGCAAAAATTTCATTTCCGAAGATTTCCGACTGTAATTTCAGTGGTTTAACTGAAATTCCAAAGACACAGTGTCAGTTATTTGTGGTGCAAATATTTCTGAACTTCAAATTGATTTTTCAACATTTTACCCCGATTCTAGTTATGGTGACATAACGAGATAATGATCAAGACTTCGAAGATCTTCGTTGAAAGATCATACACGAGTACAAGGATTCATTTTGATTATTTCATTTTAAAGCTAAGCGCGCACTGGGACGATACCGCACGAACGGGCAGCTGCTTTTGTGTGAGTCGCGCATTTACGCATTGTGTGAGGCTCGGGCGGCACGGAATGAACATGACGCGTTGCGTCAACGAAGACGCAAATTTGAATAAGAGAACAAGTTTAAATAAATTTAAACTTTTAGAAAATTCCGACCGTACCGTCCGCGTGTGCCGTACCAACCCAGTGCGCGCTAGACTTAAGGATAAGAAAATGTGTGTAGAAGGATTTTGTAGATTATGTAGGATACTACGACCTATGCAGACAAGCAAATCCGAAATTAAACTTTGTGACACAATGCTATGCGACGCTTGTATCACGAAGGCCGATTGTGATCAATATCACGATCAGATGCGATCGATACCTAAAACATTCCTAACATTTCATGCAATTGCAATGCAATTTGTGAAAGTTATACGTTTGAAATTCACCAAAATTCGGTGCGAGTAAGGGTAGCTCTTTCTTAAGTATTGTAGTAATGACACGCGTGTTAATTCTTACCGGTTAACATGTCGTTGCATTTCGCTACGTCGCCATATGTTGTAGCTGTACATTAAGTCAACCATGCCGAATAGAGAAAGATGCAAATTATTTAAATTCCAGCTCATATTGACGTTTTTTTCTTTCCTTTCGTAAAACTTGGGGAGAGATGGGGCGCAGGAGGTATGGGACATTCAAAATAACATACAATCCCTTTTTAAAATACCTTCCTACTTAATCCCAAAAGTTGTGACATTTTTGGGTTTATCTTCTATGAAGGTATGTGAGAAGTAGCGTTCGTAGCGGGTGAGAAATTATTAAATTTGGTAAGTCACATATTTTCTTATGTTTTATATGGGAATTTAAGCATTAGAAATATTTAGCTACTATAAACAATGTGTGATATCAAAAGAGCAAATATTGCTGTAATTGTTAATGTTAAAAAATAATCATATTTTTGTTGATTATAATTTTATATGTCCAACAAGGACATAGGAGATATTTGGGACATGAAAATGCAGGAAGGCTAGGACACTATTGAACAACGCATTTTGTGTCCCAAATTCCCTTGTTATAGTAAAAATACATGTTAAAAAAGGGTGCAGCTCAAAATAGTTTGCGAGATAAACAAAGATGGCTGGCTATGACGTTACATTTAAAAAAAGGAAAACCGGATCTCTTGCTTTATCAGTACAACTGATGTAGTATTTGTACCGGAAAAAGACATTGTAGCTCATTTGCCAAAAGCCCATGTAGATTTCAGAGCAATTTTCAAAGACATGCTCTACTTTGAGGTGGATCTCACTCCTTATAGATTTTCCCTAGCGTTTTTTTTTAAGTTTTTCATAATTTATATCAGTATACAATTTCGTTTTGAGCCATGTTTTTGTAAAATATCATTTGTCAAAATAAAATAAAAAAATAAATGGATTTATTTACAGTTTCTTGCATGTACGGAATGCCCAAATAGGTGTCCCCTTCCTCCTACCGTGGTGTCTCATCCTACCTTCATGATGGGAGGAATGGAAAATTTGACACTATCGTAAAAAATGCATGTTATTCTCGAAGTAATAAGGATTTTGAACTTTTTTAGTATTGATTAATATAATAATAGCTTTAAAAAATAATTATATTATCGCCTATGTAATGCAAGAACAAAATTAAACAGTGAAATGTGAAAAATGTCCCATCCCTCCACACTCTCCACTATTTTGAAGTTTTTCTTTGTGGCGCCCTTCCAACCCCTATAGTCTCTTGCATTCCGATGTGCCCGTTGGCGCCTTCGGAAGCATGGCTGCCAACTGACGACGTTACAATATTATACCATATCTCGGGTGGGAATAAACTTTCGCAAAATTTACATGATGAGCAGGATGAAGGCTTACTGAATTTGAACTTTATTTTATGTTCAGTTCATTTAAATGGACTTTCCATTTGGTGTTCGACTGAATTAAGATATTCAGAAATTTTGCTTCCTTACCATCGGTCAAATGCACATCATTCTTTTTCAATTGCAAATCAATTGCATATTCAGTTGCTAATGTGAAAGGAAAAACTGGATTGAAACCGTTTTACTTACTTTCAGTATTATTTTTTTAGTACGATAGTAATTTCCTTAGATGTTTCTTTGCAGAGAGGTTTCCTTTGGAGAGGTTCCCTTGGAAGTATCTACATAAATGCTTGATTTGATTAATATAGGTAACTGTGGAGGAGTTATAATATTTTTGAAGTAATATATAATATAATGTATCTTCTCTTAAGAGCAATAACGTTATCTGGCTGAATATATAACGATTTGCTGCTCCCAACTTTTCAGCACGGGATTTTCATCGCAATAATGTTAATGCGTGCGCTGAGTCTTAAACCGAGCTTCCCTGTCCTCAGTATTCGGTATCAGCTATTTTTACAACCTGCGACTCCTACCCCAGCCTACCATATGGTCACGCCGCACTGGCCCTTTCTCCCTTTGCGGCCCGCACCCATTTGCAGTGCCATCGTTGGCCCATTGAGTGAGGATCTTCCACCTGTCCGCTGGCCGGTATAAATTCGCCCTCCCGCACATTCATTTGGCGAGGAAAGAAAAGTTATTCTCTTAGGCTGTGCATGATGATTTCGAAAAGCGACGACACACTAAGTGAACATCCATGTCTATGGGGCAATTCGAACCTGCGACGGTTCCGAGACTGTTAACGCGCGTCCGCCGTGACCTCGGCTACCCAGGTCAGCTAGAATGGAGTCTATTACGGCTATTGAATGTGTAATTTAAACCACTGGTTCTGTATATGAATCAGATGTACGTATGCTTTGCGAGAAGTTTCTTTCATAAGAATATTTCCATCTCCACTACAATCGCTCAAAACTTGTGTAAGACCGGTCAATAATCCTTTTTTAGTGATTTCGTACAATACCATTGTAAACTGTGCAACACGCCTTTGAGTACCGTAAATCCTTCCGACATCGGATTCAGTACAGGGCACCAGTTGTGTTGAATGTGTGACATCCAAACAAAACTTAGATACCATGCGCTATTAATTCAGGAAACATTAGTTCATTAATTTTCTCTTGTAATGTAGGAAGTTTTATAAATTATTATTGTAAAAATGTGTTTTCTAATATAAGTATATTTTCAGTTGATGTAAACAAATGAAACTATTTAATTTGTTCATCTTACCCTTTCATTTCTTTATCTCTTCAACAACACGTACGAAATACTGATATTTCGGCAAATCATGAATTAATGTTTGCACAACTCAATCTATTTTGCACGAGACTAACTAAATATTTGTATTTTATTTTAGGAAAGCAGTACGTTGCTGCACAGCTCTTGCTGGAGAGAAGTGGAAACATCTCATTGCCATTCAGCCACTTCAGTAAGCAGTCCTCAAAGTACAGCTGCTTGGAAACAGTTACTTACGGCCACATTCCTGTGCCTTATATTTATGGTAAGTTTGGTATCGTTGAAGTTCTATGTACGGAATGTCCAGACTTACCCGCACCCGCCACCCCCGCAAGCACCTCAGGGCGACAAACTAATAGTGAACATATGTGATACCACAAAAATCGCCTTTTTTAGTTAAATGGAGAAATATGTTTACAAAATAAAAAATACTAGTAATAATTTTATCAACATGAGTAAAATATGATCTTCCATTTAAACACTTCATTAAATCTACACTTGAATATGATACTTTATTATGTGAAATTACTGTTTCATTATTATTGCAACGCCATTGTTCACTCTTCTCTCTACCCTGAGATACTGAAGGTCACTAGTGATGGCGCACTACCTCTATTGAATGTGTATAGCTTGGAAACAATCAGAAATTGTCCACTATCACTGAACGCGTCAGTAAATGAGTACCATAATCAAGGATGGTGTACTTTTACTGAAAGTTCCGCTAAAAAGTATAAATTCGATAGCTGTGTAAATAAGATTCATCTCGAAGAAATGAAAGGTTTTTTCCCCTCTATTTTGGTGGTCTGGTTTACCCTCTGCGTCTTCGCTACATTGCCATGGCACCTGTAACTTCGGAATCATCTATTTGCAGGTGGCCGAAGTAGTTGGTGGGTACCTCGCTGGGAGCTTGGCGGTGCAGACTGACGCAGCGCACCTCCTCTCCGACTTGGCTGGCTTTGGAGGGAGTCTGCTGGCAATGTGGCTGGTTCGGAGGCCGCCGTCGCGCCGCCTGACGTACGGTTGGGCTCGAGCCGAGCCGCTGGCCGCTCTGGCCTCTGTGCTCTTGCTCTGGGCAGTCACCATCGCGGTGGGGGGCGTCGCGGTTCACCGATTGCTGGTCGGCGACTATAAAATAAACGCTGACACAATGATGGTGGTGTCTGGCTTAGGAGTCATCATCAATATTGTGTAAGTTATCTCTTTATCAAAATTGTAAACTTCGTTTTTACTGCTGCCTAATCGATAGTTTATCTTATTCTTTAACGACGTGCCCCTCTTTGTGTGGGATGACTACTTCTCATAAGTCACTTTCACACAATCATGTTTTCCTGTGGGTAGAGTGTCATCATCCTGCCCCTTGCCGAAGATATCCCCCTGTCTCATCCGTCATTTAACTCTTAGCATAGTTGAGCATGTCTAAATACCTCAGGTTCTCTGTATAATTGCTTTATATAAAATTCAATTCGATGGTCTCTGACCCTTAATTCAGGTCACACTGTAAATCAATCATTTCTAATTTAAAATCACAAGGGACGTAGTGTATGTCTTTGCGAAATAAAGTTATCGGATCACTGACTCGCTAGGACTGACGTTATCGCAAGCGGTACAATGCTCGGGTCCCGGTGCCGCGCTCCCATGTGATAGGGCGGCTTCGCGCTCTGATTCGCCTGCTTGAGCAGCCCTGTCCTACAGGTGTCATTTGAAAACTAGGTGCCCCGATTAACCAATTCTGTTGAACTAATTAAACCAACGTGGGAACAATAGTGCAATGATGAGGTAAAAAATGGAATAGAATTACAATTACAGTGAAATCGAAAGTTTTTATAATAGACATATATCGGATACAATGAATTACTGCTTTTTTATTATTAAAAATTACAAATCACAAATAAAAGTAGTTAAACAATTTTATTTAGTTCACTCGCATCTGTGCGACGTTCTGATTCCCTGAACAATTCACGCCATACTTCAAAAGTTGCCTCTGAAACCAGTTTGTAAATATAGTTGATTTTTATAAACGGTTTTATAAAATGTGAGCCTGTCTAGCGAGAACGTAATGAATTTCACAGACGCAGAAGTAAAGGTTCCCTTCTAAATACGAAAACAAATGCAATTATTGACGTTAAACCTTCCCGTACATGGAGATTTTTTTATTATCTTCTTACGCATTTTCTGATCACAGATGTCTAAATCTATCCCCTGATGAAAAAATATCTAGCTTCAATATTGAAAAGGTAGGACGGGCCTACAAAACATTGAACGTTTGCAGTAATCGTAATTTTAGAGGATACAGAGAAAATCGGACTTGAGAATATTATTAAGCACTTACTTTTTAATGGAGCGATTTTCAAGAACATTTTGAACATGTTCTACGGTATGCATAAAGTTTCTTTAGAAATTATAATATCGGTTTCAAATTTGCAGGGTTTTTGGTTCGGCCATATCGATAAGGGAATATCAATTCTTCGGGAAATTAAGTTCACATTTGAGACCATGGCTGACCAAAACAGTCGCACTTAGGCCACTGCAGGGCGGGCGCGGGCGTACGGGTTGCGACCGTGGCCCCAAAACAATATTTCAAGTGCACTTCTGTGAAAAATGTCGTAGGGGTGACTCAACCATTCGTTCAACGTGATGCGCTTGCCTAAAACCGGTCAATGCAGTGTCTTTCAGCTTGTTCTTCAGAATACGCAGTGATCGCTCCTCGAATTGCAGAGAACAGAAATCGGGATTACAATGCGAGTCGTGGCGCCTGCAGGGAGAAACGGGTTCATAATCGGAGACTGTAACGGGCAAGCGGAAAGTCTGTCTCGCTTTTTATAGTAACGATCTGAATTATGAGTTCCAGCGATGCCCCGACTTATCTTTCGGGTCCACGATGACCTAAATTTAGCCCGCTAGTAAGTCTCGCCTAGGTTATAGTGGTTTTGATGCCGGCGGAGGGACAGACCGACCCGACCTACCGAAAGATAGACGAAGACACAGACAGACCAACTGGCGGACCGACAGACAGATCAACGGGCAGTAGGTTTTTAATTGACGATTTGTGCTGTAGATTCAATGATGCTATGTCTTTTTACCTTCTTGCCCTTCGTAAGAAGATGTTATGTAATCGTGAGCCGGAAAACTGCGAAATATCGGCAGAAAAACTTATTGGCCGTGGTAACGAAAAAGTGGATAAATCATATTGCTATATATAGTAAATTACTTCCTCTAACATGTATTGTAGCCAGAATCCATGTGAGTCAAAAATCGATTGACGGCAAAACGTCTGTCTGTCCGTCTGTGGCCAACGCTAGCCCCTAAACCGTTCAGCCGATTTGCTCCAAAATTCCCCAATAGATGTAAACGAACTCGAGTCTTAGAGAGTTTCAAACAGATATTTTTTATTTTTGAGAGTACTTTACAAATATTTTCAATATCTTCTCAAAAATGGCTCCATTTTTTTATTAAACTTCATCATTGGATAGTGTGGACGCTTAAAAGATAATGCTGCTGGCCTCATTTTCGTTGAAATCCCTAATTTTTCGCTAACAGAAAAAAACAAAAATTGCATTTTGGGGGCGTCTTTCTACAAATATAATATTGAAGATAAAGAATTTTTTCTTAATGAAAGCTATTCTTTAAATATATATATATATATATATATATATATATATATATATATATATATATATATTGAAATAAAGTCACGTTCAATTTTTCGTGTAATTTTGGACGAAATATAGGCTACTTCATTTTTTAAACAATTTTTCCTGTACATTTTCTCCTCAACTGGATCAAAGAACTGTATAAAATATTATGCTAATTCCATTTGAGGCGAACTCTCATTTTTTTCCAAAATTGCAAGAGTCAATATTTCAAAACTACAAAATTGAAGTTTAAGATTTTTGCCTCATACAATGTCTGTGGAAAAAATTCAGCTCTTTAAAAAAGGTTATGTCCAATTTTTTGAAAAAACGAATAGTTTTCGTGCGATTTGTGCTTGAAATTTATGCGGTTTCTAAAAAAAATATTTTCTCAAAACACGCTCTAATTTTTTCTTTGATTTTTTCCTCGCATAAAAGAACGGGGCGCTTAAAAAGAATGGCGTCGGGTCTAATTTCGTTCAACTATATATCAATTTTCCGACAAAATAGCAAATTCTAGCACAAACTTTGACGCAAGAAAGACTGTGCCTGTTGGAGCACCCAGCTATTCTTACCTTTATCTATTCCGCGAGTGTGTCGCTGTATACCTACTACTCACTAACTATATATATATATTATATATACTATTATATATATACCTATATACTACGTCAGTATAGACGAACCGTTATGACCAATGCTCCCGTCCGCCGACATATTGCCCTCTCTCGAGAAATCAACTGGAAATACTACGTCTCTTGGAGGCCCCGTGCTACGGGAAAAAGTTCATTTTTTAAAAAATATTTCCTTTTTTATCTTTCTTTAAAGCTGTCCATTCATCTCGCCTGTTCTGTCCTTCTGTGAACAACCCAACTTGCGCCTACTCTGTGCGTTAGATTTTTTTTACGAATTGAATACTCTCTGGTCGATCTGGCACTACTCGAAGCTTTGCGATTTTGAATCACATTTAATTTTGGAGGGTACTTTACATGATGCCCCTGGGACTTTTTTATAAATTTTTCAAAAATGGCTCCAAAATTTACTTTATTTATTTGTTGCAAGACGAGAAAAAAATTCAGTTATAAAGATTGTCTGGGTCCGATTTTTAGTGTTAACTCTAAATTGGAAAAGTATGAAATTTTTTCGGTCGTCTTCCTACAACTGCAGAATTGAAGATATAGATCTTTCCTTCAAATAAAATTTCTCCAGCAGTTTTTACGCAATATTCAATGCGTGCAATATTACCCAATACGTCGTATTGAATGCGTTCGCACGCAATAAATATGTGCCATATTAAAAAAATTAGTAAAAGAATTCTCAAAAACTGCTACAAATTTTTCTTTAAACTTTTGCTAGGTAGTATACGATGGCTTAATGTACTGTGACGGATGGCTTAAACGCCATTTTCTCTATTCTTTTGTTTTCTGAAAACTTACACAAATGTAATTTGTTTGACGTCTCGATCACGTCGTTAATATTTACACTACAGGCGATTTGTATACATCATTGCATTTATTACTGCATGTGCTTCAAATGATGTCTCACAAAGTTTATGGAAAACGTATTACTTTTCTTTGCAAATGAGCTCGAAATTCCGCATTTTGAGAAACGCTAAAACGCCATTTTCTCGAAAACAGCTTCACATTGCTTTGGTAATTTTTTGAACAGATAGTGTTAAAAGTATTAAATAACATACATACTACTTTCACGTATTCTTTTGTTTAAAAAAACACATATGTATTTTTTTAACACCTTTCACGCCGTTAATATTTACATTATTGAATTTGTGAGAACAAGTGCGTCAAATAATATTTTTGTGAAGTGTCTCGAAAACTCAAAAGTTTTGGTTGAAAATGAGTTTCAAAGTTCGCATATTCAGAAACGCTCCAACATTTTCTCAAACACGGCCTCAATGAAACTTTTCGTATATGATGAGGTCTTACTCTTGCATAATAATTTTGAAGTGTGTTTCAGTTCTACCCTTAGGGGGCCGAAAAAATGAGCAAATGTGAAAAAATGTAATAAATGGCAGCTGGGAGGAAATTGGGGTAAAACCGAAAAGCTAGTCAAGACTAATGAAATTCGGAAATAAACGATTACGAGAAAGTCTGTGTCATTCTGTCGCACCAGTAGTTTAAGTCTGAATAATTGTTAAGTAATAACACTAAGAGGAGGAAAAGTTTTTGTGTCGTGCATTCACACTAGTTTAAATACGTTTGTGCCAAGCCAGTTGTGAATGATTGTGTGTAATTTACTATTCACATTAAAAATATTTCTTTAGATATGTGATTAGTTTCTTGTTAAACAATTCGCCAAATTAATGTTTTAACATATATCTTCCGGAATTAGTTCACTGAATGAAATTAAACTGTGGTTTGACATTCTAATCCATCTTCGAACAGTATACCGATATTTGAATTTTAAGAACATGAGACTTCTCTGGCGAATTTATTAGTGTTTGCACTTAACCAAAACAGCTAACGTTAACGGTTATAATTAACGTTATGTCGAATCGTGGGTGAAGTTCAAAGAAGGAGTTTTTGCATAACCCTTACTGTTACGC